AACATGAGAAGGATTTTGGTCCATCAGTACTGGGTAGATCTGATAGTAGGGTGTATTTGAGGGGGTGGAGGAATTCTGTGCACCTTTAGGACCAGAAGTGGTTAGAGAAGACTATTCAGAATAAAATAGGCAGTGACGAGTTGAAAATTACTGTACATGAAGTACAATACAAAGGAATGGTTCGAGATTTCATTTAACATATAATGAAAATATAAAAAAATAATTAAAATGATGAAGAAAAAAAAGGATTCTTGGCCCAAATGTTGTATCTTTTTTGTCCATTTTGATCTCCAATAAATATATTTTGTTGCCTTCACCCTACGTTGTGACGCCTGTGGACCTTTATTATTAGGTGTGTTCTTTTTGTTGTTATTCCTGGTTGGCAGCAGACCGTCTTCCATAGAGTTCCCACGTAAACCTGCTTGTGTACCACACTCGTTTGACTTTATATAATGAAAATATAGTAATTTTCTTTTCAGAATTATAAATGTATGAAAGTTAGGTGTTTGTATAAAGAGAATTACAAAATTACAATACTGAAAAATTAGCTTTTTGCCTTTTTGTGTATTTTTTATTTGCATATGTTGTGTTGTTTTATAATAATATTAATACATTGCAGTCATTAATGTTGCAATGTACAATCTGCGTTGCATGAACAATTGATTTTTTGCAGTCACTGTTGCTTACCCTCAGGATATACATATACAGGTAGTCCTCACCGACGGAGTTTTGTTCTTACGACTCGGTCAAAAAACAAATTGGTCGCTGGGGGGGCGTGGCTTGGCGGCCGACTAATATGGCAGCCTAAAGAGACAGCTCCCGCGCATCCACGCATATAAAAGCACTTGCCATCCGCACCACAACCGCGGCACACATCCTCAATGCCCCTTACCAGTTCGGGAGCCACCCCACGTCGGAAAAAGCGGAGGCAGCTGCAGAATACCCCACACTCAGTAGCCGACATGTTCGCGGCCTCACGATACCCGCAGGCCACCCAAGATGGCCGCCGGACAGACGCACGAGGCTCACAGTCTCAACCTTTCACACAGCAGAGGGACAGCCAGACATGCTCAGCAGCAGCTCCGAGCAGATTCTGCACAATCTGGCTGAGGTCAGATCCTATCTGGAGGGAGAAATCATCCTCAGCACACAAGACATCAAGGCTGAGATACAGGCCTACACCACCACTACACCACTAAGGAAGCGATTCTGAGATACAACAGGCACCACGAGCTTACCTACCAAGGCAAACCCATCTCTCTCTTTCAAGATCTGACGCCAAGCACGCTTCAGAGGCGGCGAGAGTGGGGACCGCTGACTGATCTTCTGCGCCAACACGAAATCCGTTTCACATGGGGCCACCCGTTCAAGATAGTGGCCTTCAAAGCGGGAAGAACAGTTACCTACGCGCCAGGCGGTGACCCACGGAAATTCCTCCGAGACCTCGCCATAACTCCCCCACAGGACCTCGCTCTACCGGGCCCAGCTCGACAACCCCTCACGACCCTTCCAAGGGACAGTTACAGCAACGACTGCCCAGGAGGGCTAGAGAAGAAAACAGGACTACCCCGCTATCCTCATACTTCATAGAGACTTGGGTGTACCACGATATATCTGAGATGGCTAAGTGTATGGGGGGGGAGGGAGGGAAAGGGGAAGCTGCATTAAGCAAAACCTCAGTACAGGGGAGACGCTGGTTAGACATAGAATCGTTGATGACGGGAATGGACCTCCCGCAGTTCTTCATCTGGGTACCTAGACCACAAAGAGCCATTCCAAGAACCACAAACCCAGCCATACTCAACTCCATACAGATATGGGACCAAACTAAAATGAAGTACTCACTAAGCTCCCCCCTATCCCCTATGGTACCAGTTTTCAGGAATAGGGCGTTTCCCCCGGGAATGAGAGCCCAAGACTACAAAAGGATAGAGGCCACAGGGCTACAAACCGCTTAAGGGGATGGATATAAATTGGCACAAACCTTTCAAAAGCTTGCTGCCTGCACTAGGTGCAGTACCTGTCCCACTACTGTTTTCAGTGAACTTGAAACTACTGTTCTCGCTGATTGCGAGTCTTATCCCGGTAACCAGCCAAAACAATATACTCCTCAAACATACTGCCATTGTATATAGTTGTATTTGTTTGACAACATAAAAGAAAAATCCTGATGACAACCGCAACTAGGTCGCGCACTGTACACCTAATGACTGTACTAACGGCTTAAATTTGCTTTCTGTAACCTGTCACATGTCATTATGTAACCACAGCCTCATCTAAACCTATGTCACTGTATCATTGCTTGTCTATCGGAGCAAAAATAAAGAATTAAAAAAAAAACAAAAAAACAAATTGGTCGCTAAGTGCTGGATAGATACGCTAGAGAGCAGGTCTACTTTTGGGGGAATTCCCCCGAACATAGACCAGTTCACTAGCGCAGGGAATCCTGCAAATCTATGTTTGGGGAAACTTCCCCGAACATATACCAGCTCTCTAGCTTGTGGAATTCCTTGAATCTCCACGCTAGAGAGCTAGTCCTAAGTCTGAGCAGTGGTAAAACGGGTAGGTAGTAAAGTGAGGACCATCTACATGCTTTTTAAAAGATTTACTGGAACCAAAATCAGTGTTTTAATAAAACACAGGTTTTGGATGAAGTAACTCTTACTGGCATGCACCCTCTTCCCCCATTACAATAAATAAATAAATAAATAAAGCTAAGACTTACCTTCAATCCTGCCAAAGCCATGTTTTCTCTGTAGCCCAATCCTTCTTTGGTGACATCACTCCCTCTTACTGGTGGAGAAGGGATGTCAAGGAGGATGGACTGAGGGAAGAACTTAGGTACCATGGGGGGGGGGGAGGATGTGCTGCCATTGGTTGTCTGTCCCCAGAATGCTATGCATGCTCACAATCAACACCTTTTATGCACAGAATGGACATTAAAGAGGCTGTATGTGCCAGTATGGTCAGTTCTACTTCATCCTCAATTTGGAGTCCTGTCTCTTATTGGGGGAATCTGCTACAAGGGATTGCTATGCTCTGCATATTCCCTTTCTATAAGCACTGCTAAGCTCTTTTAAGAGCTCGTTCCTGCTTCGCTCTGAAGGAAGACAGGTCCTGCCTGCGGTGGTTGTGGTGTTGGCTAGAGTGCTTGGAATCCTCAAGAAGCGCTAGGAGCATCCATCAACGGAGGTACCGAGTCGGGGTGCCAGCTGATCCATTACAACCACTACATATTTTTGTACGCTACGGTTGCTAGTAAACTGCGTTTGTCATTCTCATGTTCTATGCAAAATAGTTTTCTAGCAATATGACCAAAACCAGGGTCCCCCATGTCACTGACAGTATTGATAGGCTGAGAATGTATCAGGTGAAGGGCTCATCCTATCATGGACAAATTTGATATTAGTAACGAGGAAGTAAATTATCTGCTATAGAAATTTAATAGCGGAGGCCAGGCTATGGGTGCCGGTAACACCCCCAGTTTTGGGGTCTTCAAAACCAATTTGATCCCAAACAAGGAAAGCAGGGGGTGATTCCTGCAGCCTGCAAGTACTATAACTAGTACAGTGGACTATAGTGTTTATGGTACATAAACTGCACTTTTAAGAATTAATATCCTAAGAAATATGATCCAATTCTGTTAATGGCCCTTGCAAACAAATAATGTTGTTATGTGTACTTATTTTAAAATGTGTGTGTGGTGGTGGGATCACTGACATTTGTAAAAAAATATTATTGACAACTGCACTGCAAAGATAGGATTTGCAATTTTGGTGATAGAACGGAACACGTGATTATATACAAATGCAATATCATACACAATCTACGCAGGTTTTCTGACTCTCGTCACAGCTATCCCGATTGACAGATTTATCCATTTATCATTCTTTCTTGCTGATCTGCATCAACCTTTTAGAATGATTGGGGATTGGGTGTCTCTTTGGTTCTGGTCTCGCTAACAGAAATTACACAATTCTAGTGTACCCTGATTCTAAAAAAAGAAAATTGGGAGTTTATAAATAACATAATGACTACAGTATGGTTGTCAAACAGCAATATCAGTGTCTGTAATTATAATGATTGAGGAGATGATATAAGTGGCTAGTTTTAATGCGCCCCAAATAAAGCCATCTCTAACTTTTGCTTAGCTACCAAATACCACATTTTATTAATGTTGGATGATTAGCAGGTGGTGAAAGCCCAAATTCCATGTGATGACTTGTTTAACTGCCAGTTGTGGCGCTGATTAACTTCAAAGAAAAAAACTAAAATAAATGTCTTTGCTGATAGCTTGATCTGTTGGCAACCATATTGTTCCCTCTTTGAACATTCCCTAAAAATATATATCTGGAGTCTGCAAGACCCCATGAAATCATAAAAGGTCCTTTACTTTTCTAGTTCTGAAATTCAAAGGACAATGGTAAATTCTGGTTACGGGTCTATAGCATGTGGTAGGTTTAGCTTTGTGAGCTAGTTAACAACGCATTTTACTGTCCCAGAGGGGGATCCCACACTGTTGGAGGAAAAAGGAGCTTCAGAGTACCCCCAAAAAATAAACTAAAAAATAAGAACTATATAGAATGGCATATTGCAGATCTAATTGATAGAATTAGACATGATGGGCACTAAGCCATGGGAGTATTGGGGATGCCATTGTTGAGCAAAGAGATAGCAATTGGTATACTTTTTACAGAAAAAGACAGAGTATCATCAGGGAATCCATTCAAAGGGTTTGGCCATTGAATGTGACATTGCACTAAGCAGAATAAAATAAGGTGAGCTTTATTACTTGTTTAGGTAGAGAGAGTCCATCACTCTTGGGGGTGTCTTGTCCAGGATAGCCTTGGAAGTGGATGACAGGGTGGTTGTCATGGATTCAATTCTTCTGATTCCTGAAAACTGTCAAGATAACATATTTGTCAGTGACATTCAATAATTTAAATATGACAGGGTGAGATTAAGCTCCCTCAAAGGGTTCAGTGGTGTCGGATTGATGTGCCCTATCAATTTGGAAAGGTGTGAAATGTTCAGAACTGCTTTAGGCTATTATGTTTGCAGAGTGTGTATAAGAATAGTTGGAGAGATGGATTCAAGAAAGCATTAAAAGCATGTGTTATACATGTCTACTGTAACATGCGGTGTCCATGAGAGTATTGCAGAGCTCCACAGTACTCAATGTGTATAAGTGTAATGTGGACACAGTAATGTCCAGTGAGTGTATTGCAGAGACCACAGAAAGTTCTCATGTGCTGGAACAGAGCCCTACTAAGTATACTTGGCACCCAGGATTGATGTGTATGTTGCCCTTTCAATTGTAAACATTTCTTTTTTTTTTTCATTTAGTGTTAAACTGTTTTTATTGTTTTATTTATTTAAATTTATTTTTATTTTTGTCAGATAAAACGTGTTTCGATACATTTTGAGTATAACATCAGTAAGAAAACATGCAGTATTGACGGTACAGGCATATGTATAGAACATGGTTTTCATGGATACAATGAATACAAAGAATGACAAAGTTATACCTTTTGCTTATAGCGAATGTAGTTGTCTTAGCTGTATGGTCTACTAGGGTCTTATTCGTGTTAGGTGGGAATTTGGTGTCGATAGTTAGTTTCGTGGGAAATTTAGTCACGCTTTGGGTACCTTGTCTACTAAGAGAGCCTAGAGGCTGCGTTGTGGTATGAGTATAAGTATTAATAATAATAATAATAATACTGTGGTTGTCTGTAGTTCGTTCGGTCTGTGTAGGCCATCTCTTGTATTTTTGAGTCACAGTCGTTGGAGTTGATTGCGCGTTAACTATAATCGTCACTCAGGTCTGCATTTTTGTCTGTGGGGTTTCGTTGACTTTGTTAGGTCTACTGTATAGTTACTATTTCGTTGGTACCTGTTTCCGAATGCTCTGTTGGCCCTTGCGAGTCATTCCCACTTCAGTACCTCCACTCCTCCCCTCCCCCCTGTGGCGGTCAGTCCCGTCCGTCGAGGATGCCCTGTTTTTGCTAAATGTGATCCAGAGGTTCCAAACTTCAATGTGTTTCGAGTGGTTTCCTAGTTTAGACTGTGCTATAGCTTCCATTAGTCTTGTATCTTCCACCCTCTGTATCCATTCCCTGATTGATGGGGGTTTGGATTGTTTCCAGTACTTGGGTATTAACTGGGAAGCTGCCGTAGTCAGTTGGATGAAGAGATTAGTGTCTCTTTTCGAGAAGCCATGTGGGGGTATGTGGAATAGGTAGTTAGCTGGGGCTAACGTGAACGTGGTGTGGAATATGATTTGGATGAGCGTGTGGATTCTGGACCAAAACCTAGCTATTAGCGGACACTGCCACCAAATGTGTGCGTGGTTAGCCCCCGGTTGGTTGCATCTCCAACATTGGTCCGTGGGGGTGGTGTGTATCAGGCGTAATTTAGCAGGTGTGTAGTGCCATCTGGTTACTCTTTTAAAGTTACTCTCTTGGGTAGATAGTGAGATAGATGAGGTATGAACCTTTTTCAGGATGGATAGCCATTGCTGTGGTGAGAGTGTAATTTTGAGTTCTTCCGTCCATTTTGTCGTGTACCCTGGGAGAGTCCGTGAACGTGCGTCGGTGATCAGGGAGTACATAGTGGAGAGTAGTTTTTTAGTGACCGAGTGTGAAGTGCAGAGTTGCTCAAATTTGGTCAGTTGTCTATCTCCGCTGGGCAATAGATTATGAGTTCTAATGAAGGTGGACAGTTGGTGGTGGCGCATTTTTTGGACTGTCGTGTGGGATAGGTTCGGCATAATATGGGATAGGGATTTAATCCCGCCCTCGTGTACCATATCCCTTAATTGCAGGGTGGAGCCTACATGATACATGTGGAATGCCTGTCCCGAGTCCCCTTGCTGAAATAAGGGGTTGTGGGTGAGTGGATACAATGGTGACGGGTGTGGCGAGATTCCCAAGTTGCATCTGAGCTTGTGCCAAATTCTCAGGGTTGGGTCTATTGTTGGGTGTGTTTTAGAGGAGAACGTCCGAAATTGTGTGTGGGCATCGGGCAACCAACAGATGGTGCGTAGGGTATGTTTGGATATCGTGTTTTCTATATGCGTCCATGGCATGACGTGAGTGGGCTTTGTCAATTCATAGATCCGTTGCATCTGAGTCGCCTGATGATATTGCTCTATGTCTGGGAGATTTACTCCTCCTTGCTCTTTGCCTTTTGTCAGTGTGGAGTAGGCTAGCCTAGGGGTTGTGTGTGCCCAGATAAATTTAGTGAAGATGGCTCTGATTTTTAAAAAGAAGGTACGGGGAATAGCAATGGGGAGTGTTTGAAGAAGATAGAGCACCCTAGGGAGGAGGTTCATTTTTAGTATGTTAATTCTGCTAAACCACCCAAAGCATGGTTTGTGCCACGCTCGTAGGTCTTTGGCAATGGTCTCTAATAGTGGAAGAAAGTTTAATTTATAAGTACATTCCAAATCGTTTGGGATGTGGACTCCTAAGTATTTGATGGACTTGGAGGCCCAGGTAAATTTATATTTAGTTTTCAGCGTAGTATTGAGTGAGGCTGCTGCGTGTATGGGTAGAAGTTCACATTTGGACAGATTTGCCCGGAAGTTTGAGAGTCTCCCATAGGTTTCCATTTCGGCAATTATGTGGGAAATTGTCTCTGACGGACTTGTCACAGTGAACAGGAGGTCGTCCGCAAAAGCTGTGACCTTGTATTCCTGCGAGTCTACGCAAATGCCTCTTATGTGTGTGTTGTCCCTTATCCCCTGCAGAAAAGGTTCTAGCACCAGTATGAAAAGGAGGGGTGAAAGTGGGCAACCTTGTCTTGTGCCATTTGTGATGGTCACTGCTTGTGTCAATTGGCCATTTATTCGAAGTCTGGCTGTTGGACGTGAATAGATAGCTTCTATCCACTCCTGCCAGCGAGAGCCAAAGCCCAGTAGACGGATTGTGTGTTTCAGCAACGCCCAACTGACCCTATCAAAAGCTTTTTCAGCATCGATGGCCAGAAGGGCACTGTCGAGTTTGTGTATTTGCGCCCAGTGGATAAGGTTAATGATTTTTGTGGTGTTGTTCTTGGCCTCTCGGTGTGGGACAAAGCCAGCCTGATCTTGGTGAATAAGACCAGGGAGTAGGGGTTTGAGTCTAGTGGCCATTATTTTCGTAAGAATTTTCAAGTCTAGATTTATCAGTGATATGGGCCTGTAGCTGCCACATGAGGTCAGGTCTTTACCCGGTTTCGGTATCAGGGTAATGGTTGCCTCGAGCGCAGTATGTGGAATGCAGGTCGATAGGTTTCGTGTGTTAAAAGCATCTATAAAGGGTTGTGCCAGAATTGGTGCCATTAGTTTGTAGTATTTCCCGGTGAATCCGTCTGGGCCTGGGCTTTTGCCTATGGGTATGGTCTTAGTCACTTGAAGAAATTCGTCCACCGAGATTGGGTCGTCTAGGAATGCCATGTCGTTGGCCGGGAGGGTGCCCTTAATTCTGGATGTTAGGAAATCTATTACGTCTTGGGGTGTGGGAGGGGCCGATTTCAGGTTGTATAAGTCGGTGTAGAATTTGTGAAATGCTCCCATTATGTCTGGCATGTGGCTAGTTAACCTGCCTGTTTCAGTTCTAATGTCTGAAATGAAGGTAGATTGTCGTTCTTTCTGTAACGACTGTGCTAGGAGTTTCCCAGCTTTGCCTCCCTGCATATAGTATGTGCTTTTCGTCAGAGACATTTTCCTTTTGGCATGGAGGGTCAGAATCGTATTTAATTCTGTCCGTTTGGCTAGTAGCGAGGAGTAGTCCTGCAGCGTGGATATGTCATGGTGTTTGCATTCTAGAGTTTTGATTTCCCTAGTGAGTCTGATAATAGACCTTTCCCTCTTGTGTCTCAGGTTGGAGGCTATTCGGATTAGTTCTCCTCTGAGTACTGCTTTGTGTGCTTCCCACGTCATTATGGGAGCAGTGTCCGCCGTTGTGTTTTCCCTAAAGTAGTCAGTGGCCGTCTTCCTAATTTGTGCAAGAGTGTCCGGGGGATTTAGTAACAGGTCATTCAGTTTCCATTGTGCCGAGGGGTTGGGTAGGGATGGTATGGTCAATGTGAGCGTCAGGTGAGCGTGGTCAGACCACGTGATGGGTCCATAGGAGGACGTCTGTATCATGGGTAAGTATCTATGCTGTAGGAAGAAAGAATCTATACGGGAATAGGTCCCCGTAGGTGGTGAGAAGAAAGAGTAATCTTTCTTCGTAGGGTGGATCGCTCTCCACCCATCATACAGTTGAGCATCGTAGAGAATTTTTTTCATCTGCAGTCTTGATTGGGATTGGTATTTGTGGGCGGTAGTGGTAGAATCTAGGGCTCCGTCTAGAGAATTGTTAATGTCACCTCCCAGGATCACCATCCCTTCATGGAATAGCGAAAGTTTCTCTAAGATTTTTTTGAGGGATTGGGCCTGTTTCTTATTGGGTAGGTAGATGTTGGCCAGCGTGATTTGGGTGTGTCCCAGCTTTCCTTTTACAAAAAGGAACCTGCCGGAATCGTCTTGTTGTTGGTCTTGGAAAGTGAATTGTGTGTGGCGGTGGATAAGTATGGCGACCCCTCGTGCTTTTGCTTCTGAGTAATGACTAAAGTATCCTCTTGGGAAGTCCCTGTTTTGTAATTTAGGGGGGGTGTTTTTGCGGAAGTGGGTTTCTTGGACAAAAACGATATGTGCTTTGTGTCTGTTAAAGTCTGCTAGGGCCATGGATCTCTTCTCTGGGGTGTTGAGGCCCCTCGCGTTTTGCGTGAGGAGTGTTATGGATGCCATCCCGGGGGAAATTGGTAGAGGAGATACCTGGAGAGAGAGATGTGATTGAGATGTCGTGTACTGTACCGTATCCAGTGTGACCCCTGGGTGTATTGTTCCTAATTCAGTATCTCAGCCCGTGTGTGGAGTGTCAGTAGATCGGTGTGTGTCTTGTGCAGTGTTAGATTACCTTATCTCGGGTTTTAGCCCGAGGGTGGTGAGGGGGAAGGAGGAGAGAGACTATCTGCCTGGGTAGTTTCGCGGGATCTGTCCTGCCACAGTGGCCCCTGCCGGTGGGGGCTATGGGGGAGGTGGCCGGTGGCTCCTTAGCTTATAGTCGTGTCACGTAGATAGTCCTGGTCGGTATTAACTGAACCTTGGAAGAAACAGTATAAAACAGTATAAACACAAAATGTCTGTAGTTAAGATGTTGAAGCAGTTAACAAAAACAATCGAGATAAAGCACTGACAATGGCAAATCTCGCCCAGCCCTCAGTGGGCCACTGTTTAGTGGCTCCTACTTGACTATGTTAGTATGATTCAAGTACTAACGACTCGTTATGACCTTGTCGCTCTATCACCCTTACGGTACAATTGGGATATCGGTAGTATAAAATGGGGAAGCGGATAGATCTGGGAAGGTGTCTACTCCTAGGAGTATGACTGGTTTTCCCTGAGGGGGAATCTGGTCCTATCTCGGCGCAAGAGTTAGAACCAAGTCTAAAATGGGGTTGTGTGGTCTTGGGATGCGCCTGAGACCCGGGACTGTCAATCCTCAAAGATTAAGTATTCGTTTGGAGAACTATGGAACCTAAGATGGGTATGCTAAAAATATTTTTTTTTTTTTTTTTTTATATATTAACTACTAACTGGGGGAGACCCACTACGAGAGTTGTTATTCCTTATAGGCTAATTCAAGCTAAAAGACCTGCATTAACAAGGCCTGGTGCTAAGGCTACAGTGAGAATAACGTCCCATTGGTGTCAAAGTACATATTGTTAGTCGGAGCATACTTGCCCTCCCCTTTGGTAAGTGAGGTATGATAGCGTCCATTGCCTGGCCTTGGAGTCTATGAAAAGAGGGACGTCATATCCATATATCATTCAATGCTCCGGTGTCACCTCCCTGTTCAGACGTCCCCAGGGTCAGACGATTCTCAGTGGCAGATGTCTCCAAGAGGACTTTTGTGCAGTTTGTAAGAGTGAAGGAGTATAGAGGATTTCCAGATACTTCATCTGGCTTCGTGTCCGTGTAGTCGATCTTTGTGTCCCTGTGTAGGGGTGCTTGGTCCTGAAGTAGCCTCCTAGTCGCCTGTGGCCATTCGCTTGCGGGCAGGGGTGTTGGGTTGTCTCCCCCGTCTTGCTTGTGGAGAAGTTAATCCGGCGTCATTTCTGCTCGTTTTCGCCGGAGTACTCCAATTCTGTCGTTGAGTTAGTTGCAAGTTGTCTTGGTGGGGTATCGGGTAGTTCCAATCCATTATCGTCGTGTCTGGAAGCTCCAGGGCCCGGAGGAAAGGAGGGACATCTAGAATTGAGGCTATTTGGGTGACAGTTCCCTTGTAGTTCACTATCAGGGCAAAGGGGAAGCCCCAGCGGTATTTGATGTTTCTGTTGCGCAGCAGCTCGGTGATTGGCTTAAGGGCCCGCCTAGCCTGTAGAGTGTACCAGGAGAGGTCAGGATATATTTGTATGGGATTACCGTGATACAGTAGCGGCTGTGAAGTTTCCCTTAATGCTCTCATTACTCCATTCTTCGTGTCAAAGTAGTGTAATCTACAAATAATGTCTCGTGGGGAGTCTTGAGAGATTCCCTTGGGGCGCAGGGAGCGATGTGCTCTGTCCAATAACAGGAGGTTGGCAGGGGCATCTCGTATCAGTAGCCCGAAGAGCTCTGTTAGGATGGACGTCAGGTCTTCCGTTGGGGACTCCGGCACCCCCCTTATGAGCAAGTTGTTCCTGCGACCCCTATTATCGAGGTCATCGATGTGCCTCTGGGTGGCAGACATAAATTGTATGTGGGAGTTTAAGGTGGTGGAGATGTTAGTGATTTGAGCCTGCATAAGATCTTTCTCTTCCTCCAAGTCACCCACCTTCAAGTTTAGTTGTTGGATTTCCGTTCCCATTTCCGCCATCTTGGAATGCAGGGAGGCTTCCAATCTGTGTATCATGTGCTCCATATCCGTTTTCGACGGTAAGTTCTTTAGGAGATCCCTGATATCTAGGTCTGGAATGATCTCCAACGATTTCAGAGAGCCCTCCGATGGTTGAGGGCTGGGTGGTAGGGATTCCGCCATAGGGTCAGCTCCCGCCATCTTGGAGGTCGCGGCCGCGGCCTCCGTGTCTCTCTCCGAGCTATCTCTCAGGAAACGGGTGAGAGTGCCCGATTTGGCCGTTGGGGTTTTCCCCTGGGTTCCCTGCATCTGTTGGTACTTCTTTTGGTTACCCTTGTTCCGCGTAGGTCTCCGATCACTTCGGATTCAGCCCGGGTCTTGAGGAGAGGATTTAGAACATGTCCGTCTCGCTCTCCGGTCGGCCACGCCCCCAATTGTAAACATTTCTGTGTCCCTATGTTCCTCCTCCAAACTCTTGTGTGACTGTTAACCCCCCACCCCTTACCTTTTATAACTTCTTTACCCCCCTACATATTTTTTTGTCCATCTCAAATATATACACAGTCACATGCATCAGGGCCGTCTTTAATGCGGAAAACAGGGCAGCTGCCCCAGTTACTCCTGATGCCCAAAGAAGCTGTCCCATGGGCCTGCTGCCCACTACAATTTTTTTGCAGCAGAGCTACTACCAATGCACAGCCCCGGGGCCTGCACGATGGAGGGGCCCATCGGTTACAAACCAATTGTTATTGCTAAGCACGGGCCCACTCGGGCGCCATGGCCCTTTAAGAGCAACTGGTCCCCTGTAATATCGGCAGCATGGGAGAAAGTGACAGCAGGTCATGCGGGAGGGAGGAGGCAGTAATGGAGAGGAAAGAAGCAGGAGATGAGCTGCTGCAGACTCCCTACACATCAGCCTCAGCCAGCAGCACCACAAGCAAGTCATACAATTGCAGGCAAAAGATATGCTAACAATAGGGTGGCTGCAAATATAAATTATTATTATTGCATCTGTGTGTCAGTGTGTGTGTGTCAGTATGTATCTGTGTGTGTATCTGTGTGTATGTGCCAGTGTGTATATCTGTGTGTCAGTGTGTGTATGTCAGTATGTATCTGTGTGTGTTAGTGTGTGTATCTGTGTGTATGTGCCAGTGTGTATATCTGTGTGTCAGTGTGTGTATTTGCGTATGTTTGTCAGTTTGTGTATCTATGTATCAGTGTGTATATCTGAGTGTGTGTGTGTGTATATGCCAGTGTTTGTATCTGTGCTTTCCTGTGTGTATGTGTCAAGGTGTGTGTATGTATCAAGGTGTGTGTATGTGTCAGTGTGTTTATATGTATATCTGTATGTTAGTGTGTGTGGGTGTCATTGTGTGTATCAATGCATTTGTATTTGTTTGCATGTGTATCTGTGTGTCAGTGTGTGTATCTGAGTGTGAGTGGGTGTATGTGGGTGTATGTGCCAGTGTGTATATATGAGTGTGTGTGTATGTGCCAGTGTTTGTATCTGTGCTTTCCTGTGTGTATGTGTCAAGGTGTGTGTATGTATCAAGGTGTGTGGATGTGTCAGTATGTTTATATGTGTATTTGTGTGTTAATGTGTATGTATATCTGTGTAAGTATGTATGTGCATACATCCCATCAATCAAACACAAACGGGAAAAAACACCCCTGCAAACACAAACATTACATACACACATAGTCACACAGTCACAGTTACCCACAGTTAAATACCCTTTTACACACACACACCGTCACCCACAGTAACATACATACAATTACCCACAGTCATACATCTCCTTCTCCTGCACATTACTGATTAGGGCAACGGGAGGAGAGGAGGCTGGACTTTCAATGCCTGCAGTCCCTGATGTCTAGTGGTTGGGGAAAGAGGGACTCCTTCCTGCTTCCCTCTGCCTAGGGCTGTTACCGGGTATCACCCAACCTGCCTGTATCAGCAAGACCCAGTAAGCCATGGGGGTAAGAGTAAGAGGATAATAAAATCTTCTTACGGGATTCCATGTTCACTGTCTATGTACGTATTACATAGCTCCACAGTCTGGTCATCTGTTCATCCTTTCTTATGAGACCAAGGAAAGCGGACTTGTAGACTGCTTTCCATCCCACAGCTCACTTGTTCAGCCCCAACCATGATAAGCCTTAAATAAGCCTGATGGGTCACTATAGGGCAGATGGGTACTCACTGTGTAATCCTAGGCACACTCTATCACACACTTTATTTTCACTATCTCAAATACCAATAATCAGCATTGAGTGTCTGGCAATAATCAGCATTGAGTGTCTGACAATTTCACTTTAAGTATGATGTGAATTACTGGGACTTGTGTTATCGGTATTTGAGACAGGGAGAATAAAGTGTGTGAGAGAGTGTGGCAAATTAACCCAGTGTGCTAACGGACTTATGTTCCTTCATTCTAGGTTCAAGGGATATTTGATATGTCCTAGATAAGTGGGTGCGGAACATTACACCACCCGCACATTTGCATGAAATGGCTTGATTGCTTGATTAACACAACTGATTCACTCAGTCAAGCCAATTTCAAAACAAAAGCAGGGACGAGCAATCTAGTAGCTGTCAGTAGGTATATGGAATTGGAAAGTGCTTTTTATACCTAGAGATACTTAGTATAAAAATTAAATGCACATAGAGTTGACAACTATGTCCAGAATAATGGTAATTATGGTAATTATAGTCACCAGAACAACTACAGCTTAGTTGTATTGTTTTGGTGAGTATAGGCATTCACCTGCAAGCTTTTTGGAGTCTTTTAAGAGAAAAGGCAGTACTTACATTACCGCCTAAGGATACCTCCACTGGCCACTCCTCAGATAGACATTAGAGATGCTTCCTGGGGTAGTGCTGCATAGTGTGACTGACATTCAGTGTCTCCACCCTCTGCATGCAGACACTGAACTTTCCTCATACAGATGCATTGATTCAATACATCTCTGAGGAGATGCTGATTGGCGAGGGCGGCGTTTGGCTCCGTCCTGACCCGCTTCCTTGATGATCTGAGTCAATCCAATGCTTTTCTATAGGAAAGCATTGTGATTGGCTGAGATCATCACTTCTAAAGATGTCAGCCAAGGAGGCAGATCAGGGGCAGGGTGTGTATATCTGTGTGTCAAGATGTGTGTATCTGAGTGTGTGCATGTGCCAATGCGTGTATCTCTGTGTGTCATTTTGTGAATATCGGAGTGTGTGTATATATCTTTGTGTCAGTGTGTATCGGTGTGTATATGTGCCAGTGTGTGTATCTGTATGTATGTACCAGTGTGTTCATCTGTGTGTAAAGGTGTGTGTGTGTGTGTATGTGTGTGTATCTGTGTGCCAGTATATGTGTTAGTGTGTTTCTATGTGTGTCTGTTAATGTGTATATACCTGTATATATATATATATATATATATATATATATATATATGTGTATGTGTGTGTAATTATGTATGTGATAATGTATAGTGTATATACACCAAGAAACAATACATTACGCTCTGCTAATTAAAAGGTTTGTGCTACAGGGCAAAGATTTTTGGGGGATTCCCTGATGTTGGTACGCTATGTCAAAGGGTTCCACAAGAAAAATTAATTAGGAACCCTTACTCTACATCAGGGGTTCCCAATTATTTTTTCAGTGGAACCAATTGACAGAGTGTATCAACATATTGAAACCCCCTTAGGCCCCCCCCCCCCTAAAAAAACTATTTGGTGCTGTTGCGTAAACATTTCAATTAGCAAATTGTGAATTTTCTTTTACTATATATACACAATAATTTCTACAGATAGTAAACAGATTGCAGTACTTAGGAGCAGGTGTGTTTTTGTGTGTAGAGTTGGTGTTTGTATGTACTTTTATCGTTTTCATATAAAGATGTGTTTGTATGGAATATTAGCATTTGGATGTAGTGTTGGATTTTAAATGTGGATGTACATTTGTGTGTAGTATTGAGTGTTTCTGTATAATTTGGGAGTTAAAGTTCAGGGGTGTCTTTTTATGTCATGTTTGTGTTTGCAGAAGTGTGTGTTGTGTTGGTGTTTAGTTGCTGGGATGTCTGTACATGTGCTGCCACATACATACTTACACATTAACAAACAGAAACACACCGACACATACACAGTCATATACACACAGACACACACAAACACAGACACACACACCTTGACACACAGATACACAGACCGGCACATACAAACACAGACACACACAACTTGACATGCAGATACACACTAGCACACAGATACACACACTGACACATACACACTGACACATACAGGCACACAGATACACATACCTTGACACACAGACACACACACTTACACAGATACACACACCTTGACACACAGATACACAGACCGGCACATACAAACACAGATACATGCTGACACATACAGACAGACATACACAACTTGACACACAGATCCACACACTGACAGATACACACTGACACATACAGGCACATAGATACACACACTGGTACAAAGATACGCACACTGACACACAGACACTCATACCTTGACACACAGTGTGTATCTGTGTGTGTATGTATTTGTGTATCAAGGTGTGTGTATCTGTGTGTCAAGTTGTGTATATCTGTGAGTATGTGCCGGTCTATATCTGTGTTTGTATGTGCTGGTGTGTGTATCTGTGTCTCAGTGTGAATCTGTGTGTGCATGTATCTGACACACAGATACACACACTGGCACATAGTGGCACACAGATACACACACTGACAGAAACACTGACACACAGATACACATACTCACAGATACAGACACCATGGCACACAGACACACACACTGTGTAGTATTGGTGTTTGAGTGTTTCTGTAAAATTTTGGAGTTAGAGTTCAGGGGTGTCTTTTTATGTCATGTTTGTGTTTGCAGAAGTGTGTGTTGTGTTGTTGTTTGGTTGCTGGGATGTCTGTACATGTACTGCCACATACATACTTACACATTAACAAACAGAAACACACTGACACATACACACACACCTTGATACACAGATACACAGACCGGCAGATACACACAGACACACACAACTTGACATGCAGATACACACACTGACACATACAGGCACACAGATACACACACCTTGACACACAGACACACATACTTACACAGATAAACACACCTTGACACACAGATACACAGACCGGCACATACAAACACAGATTCATGCCGGCACATACAGACAGACATACACAACTTGACACACAGATACACACACTGACAGATACACACTGACACATACAGGCACACAGATACGCACACTGGTACAAAGATCCGCACACTGACACACAGACACTCGCACCTTGACACACAGTGTGTATCTGTGTGTGTATGTATTTGTGTATCAAGGTGTGTGTATCTGTGTGTCAAGTTGTGTATATCTTTGAGTATGTGCCGGTCTATATCTGTGTTTGTATGTGCCGGTGTGTGTATCTGTGTCTCAGTGTGAATCTGTGTGTGCATGTATCTGACACACAGATACACACACTGGCACATAGTGGCACACACATACACACACTGACAGAAACACTGACACACAGATACACATACTCACAGATACAGACACCATGGCACACAGACACACACATACTAACAGCTACACTGATACACATATTCACACTAGCACAGATACACACACCTACACAGGTACACACACACACATAGACACATACACACGTGACGAAAGTAACATTGCCACTAGTTTTTGAAGGGGCCTGTTTGCCAGCCTCCTACCCTATGACTATGGCCCCTGCAATAGACCTGGCTAAAATACCTTAAAAGGCTCTGTTCACGTGAAGTATGTACTTTTGTACTCCAGACAGAGAGACCGATCGTTAGCACTAATTCTCTGGAACAGTTTTGGGCATGGTCGTCCAAAAATAAGACTTCCAGGAAATTCCTGAACCCCTGAACTGATCTGGGTGATTTTTGGATATGTTGGTGACCCAGATCAGGGCTATCAGTTGATGTAACATTTGTGGGGTGTTATGTATTTTTAGGGTACTTTCGGGGAGTTTTAAAAAAGTATGTATTTTCTGTGCTTGGAGATAATTGAATTAGAATTAGTACAGTTATCCAATTATCTCCCAGACAGAGAGGAGGGATTGTGTGCTATGTGTGGGAGTGCCTTGCATTGTAAATGTGTTATTATTTGTGTCCCTGTACCCAACAAGGTCCACGTGGGCATACACCTTGCTTCGGGACTTGCATAAAAAGCCAGTGTGGCTCCAATTAAAGAGAGATTAATTTTACCCTTCATGAAGTCTTGGCTAATGTTTGGGGGATTGGAGAACTACATTCACAACGGGAATTGCTAAATCACAATACTCCCTTGAGTATAATCACTAGCTCTTATAAGAGCTGTTCCTGCTACGCTCTCTGGACTAGGAGAGGTCTACCTACTGGAAGCTGGATCCTGGTTTTGGGTCGGGGGGGGGGAAAGGACGGCGAGACGGCAACCAAGCTGCGGCGGTTTGTGGGGTTTACGGTAGTTATAGTGTTGATCCTCGCAAGTACTAGGAAGCAGCAATTGACAGAGGTACCCGGTCGGGGTCCCAGGCGATCCGTCACAACACATATATGTTTAAATGTGCTGTTCACTTACCTTTTTTCTGCAGGAGGATCTTCAGTGGTGCTGACTGAGGTTGATGTGCTGCTCAGTCCCCGCTTCTCCCTCTCTCCCTCCAGCTGTCATTTCCTCCCAGCATCCCATACAACAGGGGTCCGGTCGCGGTCTTAGATGACTGCGGCGCCTGACCAGTCCCCTGTTTAGCAATACCCTTCAGGTGACCCTAAATGCTTGTGCCACCCGACGGGCAAATCTCAGCAGAGCCCCAATTTTGTTCTTGCGGAACCATAGGGCTCCGCGGAACACCAATTGGGAAACGCTGTTCTACATGATCCTGAAACCCCCATCACTCTAAATACTTATTTTCTATTTAAATTATCTTCTAATATTCCAGGATTATATCATTCTCCACTGAGTGACTTCATTATAATTTAACTTTGCACATTTACCCCTTGTATTATCTGCAGTTGAGTTCCGAAGTATTTATTATCAAGGAATATTACAGAAGGGCTACATTCATAGTACAGGAGTCCTGATTATAAAATTATGTTGTGTAATTCATAACATTGAAACTATTATGTGTTTGCAAGGGGTGTGTGTCTGTTGTGCAATTCCAAAACATAAAGTATTCAGACAGGTTGATCCACTTGTGTTGCAATAGACAGCCTGCTGTGATCGCTGCCTTCTTGACACAGATTCCACAGGCTGAACTGACATTCCATCACTGGTTCCATGACTCGGATTTAGGAGGGTGGAGCAGAGGCTGCGTTATCTCAAACTCTCTGCCCCAAACACTGTATTGTGAGTTTTTAGCATCCCTCTGTGTATGAATCTTGTTTTAAATCATTTCTTTATGGAGCGTCGCACTAATCAACTACACAAACAACCAGAAAAGGAGGCGTTTGTCAATTTCAGGCATAGTCATAAAAGTGGCTATTGCTGAGAATTTAAAATGAATTTCATATATTCAATTTGTGGACAAAAGACATACTTAAAAACAAGCGAAATCTCAATGTATCTTTCCTGGTAAAATATTTTATAACTAAATACATTTTCTAAATAAATAATTGTCAAATGGAAAAATGTTATTGGGAATTTTTGCAGTTTGGCTACTTTGACCTTAAATTTGAAAATTACTTTGAATTCCCCAAAATTCACACTTTTAGTGAACAACTCCATAACACTCCAGCTTTCCGTCAGTGTGAAATACATCCTCTCCATTCTAAAGCAAAGGGTGCCCAAAATGTAGATACCCATATGTGCAGAACTACAACTCCCATGATGCTTTGAATGCCTTTTGCGGGCCTTTAGAATGGAAGCTGTAGTTTTAAAACATCTGGGGATCTACATTTTGGGCACCCCTGGTCTAAAGGGACGAGTCACAGAATGTTCTCCTATGGATAAAGCAAATGTGTTCCTCTGCAAGTATAAGGGACATAGGTAGAGGTACATTTTAAAAAGGCCACTCTGTAAATGTGTCCATCAAAATGGGCGACATGATGTTGCTTTGAATATTTGTCAGCTTTCTCGTGTAATTAACATGTATTTGTTTTACTATTCTTGGCATAGATTGTGCCCCTCTTCCAGTGCCATTGCTTGTCACGTTTGCAGCTGCTTCTATTTCTAATGCATTCCTTGGAGGAAGAGGGGGGTTATTTGATCCTTATTCTTCTCTGGCCCCAGCAGTCCTTGTCATAAATCCGGGGGATCAAGCCATGTCATAGGGAGGGCTTGCTGGGGGAGGAAGAGCAAGTGCTGGAAATTCCCCTTAACTATTTCCAGTGAGAAAGTTACCATGTGTTCATAGACGTCAATGACCCCTCCCTCTTTACCTGGTCTTTTATTTTTGTGTTGTTCCCCCCCCCCACTCCCTCCCCCAAGATACAAGCTAAATTTGGTAAAATGTCTGTCCCGCCAATCAGGGATCTGCTGGCATTGCATTGAGAGGGGGGATGTTCTATTTGGTGGCATCCAATCAGGGCTGAAGAGGGAGCAGGTGTGTGAATGGGCACACTACAAATTAGAGGGGACTCTTTATAGACAAAGCTTTGGGGGTCTGTACAGAAAACCTCACAGATACCTCCTGTCCGTCCTTCTCCTGTGCAGGCATTGTGGTGACAAACCAAGATGGTAAGTGCCCCTAGGGTGGTGTGTGAAAAGAAGCTCTATTTTACCACCCGCAAAAAAATGGATTATACAATCAGAGGTGACATGATGCCCAGTCTATGTTGGAGAGCTAGGGTGTAACAGGGATTGTTTCCTGCGGTCAGAAAAAGCACCTGTACTCAAAGTAAGGTGACAGAATGTGGATGCATCGCCTCCTGTGTGGCTGCACAAGATATGAATGCCACATGTGGGCACTGTCACCAGTCATCCCTTGAATGACCATCTTCGCCAGGGGATATGACAAATGGAATGTTGCTGTCAACATGATTGGGAGAGGGGAACATACAGGGGACACCTCCTAGGCTTGAAGGCATATTTCAATCTAGATTTTCTTTATTGCAAATAGATGACATTTTTTGTTTAACCCCTTAAGGACACATGACATGTGTGACATGTCATGATTCCCTTTTATTCCAGAAGTTTGGTCCTTAAAGGGTTAATAAGAGTACTTGAATATAGAACTATTGTACCTAGACAAGTTTGGAATTCAATGTTCTAATAATTGTATCCCATGTTTATGTGTAATACACAGAGATACGTTTTACATTGTTTCAAAACAGTTTCAACCATTGTTTTTAATTCTTGCGATTCACTATGTTTCACGTAGATTACCAAGATTTATAAATAAATTTTTGAACGTGTATCTAATATCGTGTAACCCCCTGACTTGTTAACAGGACATGCTCAGACAGTGCTGGGTTTTTATCTAATATAGAGTCATATCTGACTGCACATTATCAGGACACACCACACATTGCTGCTGTTTTAATTAATGAAATGTTGCAATTACTAACTGCAGATTATCAGGACAGGCTCAGACATTGTTAGATTTGTATTTAAATGTAATTTAATATTTTGATTGCATATTAATTAGGCAGTGCCAAGTTTGTGACTATTGAAATGTAATCTCATAAGTATGGGTATTTGAAAGGACTGAAGAAGTGCCTGGTTTGTAACCAATGTAACGTAATCACTTGACTACAGATTAACTGGAAAGGCTAAAAGAGTGATTTAATTTTTCTAACATTGCAATGTTGTCCTGATTTTACTGAACAGTGATAATGAAAATGCTGGGTTTTTTTGTTGTTAAAACTGAACTTCGTACTCTGGCCAAAGTGGTAGATTTGGCTAATCTAATATTGGAAGTGTTGCTTTGGTATTGACACAGGTTAGGGCTTACCTTGCCCAAAGCTTTTGTTTTTTACCTTTTTCTTGTTTTTTGTTGTTTTTAGGTGTTTATGGTTAGATTACGTCTTTTTATACAATCCTAGAAATTATGTAGTGGACATATTTGTTTTTAATTTCACAATCCTGTTTGTGCCTATACTTCACCCTCTATCCAATTCTACTTCTCTCTCCCTCCCCCAATCCTTCCTCAATAAATTTTTAGTGATCTTCATCCATCTTTCATTCAGCCCATTTCCTTTATTGCCATTATTGATCTAACCTTTAGGGAAGTGATGTACATCATTACAATCTGTATGGGGCTGTGTTGCTAAGCATCCATAGTTTGGCACAAAAAAAAAACCTTGCAACTTCACAGAAGTAGAGATGCATTTATGTAGAACCCTACAGAACCATACCAAACTAACATAATAAACCAATCAATATAGGATCTCTAAAGGCGAAACTCGATGAATTTTACTCATCATTCAGTCTTTATTACTATGGACCATGTTGTTGATTAGTACTGGTCTATAGAGTTAAAGCTGGTGATGTTTGCAAACTATATTTCACATGATGCTCTGGCAGTGTGTATATTGGCATTTATGATGCCAAGGTTAATAATTTTAGCCTGATACTAATAACTCAAAATATGCTTATCTGGAGGACATCCTTTGAGGGGTATTGCATTAAAGTCTATTTAAAAAAAAAAATCATATAGTCACTGTAAATCTGTGAGATCTAGTAGGTACCAA